CAACCATTGTGGAAGACAGTGTGGCGATTCCTTAAGGACCTAGAAATAGAAATTCCATTTGACCTAGCAATCCCATTACTGGGTATATATCCAAAGGATTATAAATCATTCTACTATAAGGACACATGCACACGAATGTTCATTGCAGCACTGTTTACAATAGCAAAGACCTGGAACCAACCCAAATGCCAATCGATGACAGACTGGACAGGGAAAATGTGGCACATATACACCATGGATTATTATGCAGCCATCAAAAACGATGAGTTCGTGTCCTTTGTAGGGACATGGATGAACCTGGAAACCATCATTCTCAGCAAACTGACACAAGAACAGAAAATCAAACACTGCATGTTCTCACTCATAGGCAGGTGTTGAACAATGAGAACACATGGTTACAGGGAGAGGAGCATCACACACTGGGGTCTGTTGGAGGGAAATAGGGGAGGGATGGCGGGGGGTGGGGAGTTGGGGAGAGATAGCATGGGGAGAAATGCCAGATATAGGTGAAGGGGAGGACGGCAGCAAATCACATTGCCATGTGTGTACCTATGCAACAATCCTGCATGTTCTTCACATGTACCCCAACACCTAAAATGCAATAAAAATAAATAAATAAATAATAAAAATGAAAAAATAAAGTAAAAACTTCAATACAGCTGGGTGCAGAGGCTTATGTCTATACTCCCAACACTTTGGGAGGCCAAGACGCAAGGATCCCGTAGGCCCAGGGTTTTGTGGTTATAGTGAGCTATGATCACATCACTGTACTCTAGCCTGGTGACAAAGCGAGACTTTGTCTTCAAAAAAATTAAGAAATAATAAATTTAGGCCAGGAACAGTGGCTTATGCCTATAATCCCAGCACTTTGGGAGACCAAGGCAGAAGAATTGCTTGATCCCAGGAGTTTGAGACCAGCCAGGGTAACATGGCAAAATCCTGTCTCTACAAAATATAAAAATAAAAATTAGCTGGGTGTGGTGATACATACCTATTGTCCCAGCTATTTGGGAGGCTGAAGGTGAGAGGATAACTTCAGTCTGGGAGGTTGAGGCTGCAGTGAGCTGTGATTGTGCCACTGCACTCCAGCCTTGGTGACAGAGTGAGAACTTATCTCAAAATAATAATAATAGGCCAGGTGTGATGACTCATGCCTGTAATCCCAGCACTTTGGGATGCCTGAGGTCAGGAGTTCAAGACCAGCGTGGCCAACATGGTGAAACCCCATCTCTACTAAAAATACAAAAAATTAGCCGGGCTTGGTGGCAGACACCTGTAATCCCAGCTACTTGGGAAGCTGAGGCAGGAGAATCACTTGAACCCAGGACGCGCAGGTTTCAGTGAGCAGAGATTGCGCCATTGCTCTCCAGCCTGGGCAACAAGAACAAAACTCTGTCTCATAATAATAATAATAATAATAATAACAATAATAATGATAATAAAAGTTTAAAAACCCTTCAATAGCTACTTACAGCCCTCCAATTTAACAGTACACTCCTTACCCTGGCATTTATAGCTTTCATGATCTGTCTCCAATTTACCATTCAGCCATTTCTATTCACATGCACATTGCACATACCACACTGATAACTGTTCAACACGTTTTCCTATACCTCCTCTCTCTATATTTTATAATTTGTTTTATAGTTGTTTGAATATGTGTTTTTTCAAACCACTGGATGATGCCCCTTGATTTTAGGATCCTTGTCTGATCCTATTCTGTGTTTCTTTCAATATCTTTTTAGCATCTACACATTGTAGGCACCAGAAATAATTTGTGGATGAGCATTGGGCTTGCTGAAGAATACTAAGAACTTTGGCTCCAAGTTTTTTTTATCAAAATAAAGATGATTGTCATGATTAGCAACTCCTATTTTAGCCCCTGAGAGCCTTTTCTTAAAAAAAAAATGTAATTAAATGTAATACATAATTAACTGTAATACATTTAGAAAACACAGAAAAGTAAAACAACAGCAGCAAAAATCAACACAACCCAAAGGCAGCCAGAATGTTAACATTTTATACATTTCACCATGTTTCTCTTTCTTCATGTCTTTTTTTTTTCCTTTTTGAGAGTTTCACTCCTGTCTTTTTTTTTTAATAAAAAAAAATTTAAAAACATGGAACGCTTCATGAATTCGCACGTCATCCTTGCACAGGGGCCATGCTAATTTTCTCTGTATCGTTCCAATTTTAGTACATGTGCTGCCGAAGCGAGCACGAGTTTCCCTCTTGTTGCCCAGGCTGGAGTGCAATGGCACAATCTTGGCTCACCACAACCTCTGCCTCCCGGATTCAAGTGATTCCCCTGCCTCAGCCTCCCGAGTAACTGGGTTTACAGGCATGTGCCACCACAATTGGCTAATTTTGTATTTTCACTAGAGATGGGGTTTCTCCATGTTGATCAGGCTGATCTCAAACTCCCCCGACCTCAGGTGATCTGCCCATCTCAACTTCCCAAAGTGCTGGGATTACAGGCATGAGCCACCGCGCCCGGCCTCTTCATGTCTTTTATTATGATTATTATTATTTTTTTTTTTGAGACTGAGTTTCGCTCTTGTGACCCGGGCTGGAGTGCAATGGCGCGATCTCGGCTCACCGCAACCTCCGCCTCCTGGGTTCAGGCAATTCTCCTGCCTCAGCCTCCTGAGTAGCTGGGATTACAGACTTGAGCTACGGTGACTGAACCCTTTTATCTTTAGTGGTTTTATGTATTTATTTATTTTACTTTATTCATTTACTGGAGATGGGGCCTGGCTATGTTCCTCAGGCTGATCTTCAACTCCTAGGTTCAAGTGATCCTTCCTTCTCTGCCTCCCAAAGTACTGGGATTACAGACGTGAAACTTGTCCTATAATGGTCTTAGATTTCATAGTTCTGCCATACATTGTTAATGATCCAGTTAGAAAACACTTGTATGGTTATTTCCATTTTACAGATGATGAAACTGAGCCTCAGTTTGAATGAATAGATAATGCTTTAAGTCTGGCTGCAAGGAAACCGGACCTTCCACCTTTGTTGTGGTCCCTACCCGTTCTTGAATCCAGAACCACCCTCTTTTTGAATCCTAACTCTTTCTGAAACCAGGGTGCTTAGCATCTCAGGGCCCTCTGGTATGCATATTTTTATAATGAAATGCACAACAAACTTTTACCCTAAACCACTTGAGATAACCTGCTCCTTAGCACCAAAATAACTCAATTCGTCATTTAAAACAAGTCACTCTGAGTTGATAATGCTATTTTGGCATGAAAACTGTTCTGGCCTCAAGAAGAACTATTCTATATGCTCAGCCGTATAGGCCTACGGGAATTACTATTACCATTTGAGTTTTGCCACACCTCCTCTTATAAATTTCTTTTTCTTTGCCTTCCTGCCTTCCTTCTCTCCTTCCCTCCTCCCTCTTTCTCTCTCTCTCTTTCTATCTTTCTTTATTTTTTTGAGACAGACTCCTGCTCTGTGGCCCAGGCTAGAGTGCAGTAGTATTATCTTGTTTCACTGCAACCTCTGCCTCTCGGGTTGAAGTGATTCTCCTGCCTCAGCCTCCCAAGTCACTGGAACTGCAGGCATCCACCACCATGCCTGTCTAATTTTTGTATTTTTTTAGTAGAGACAGTTTTTGTTTTGTTTTGTTTTTTAGAGTAAGACTATTTGGTAGAGGCTTGGACTTGTTTTTTCAGAGGTCCTTACCAGCCCAAGATGTTACGATTCTGAGTTTCTCAATTGTACTACTTTAGAACCCTGAGATCCTAAAGCGTTGAAAGACACTAAAATCTTGTAATTCTCGTAAGACAACTTTGCAAAGGGAGGGTGAAGCTGTGGAATAGCCAGTTCTTAGCCGTCTCTCCTTCCTGACCTGCCCCACCTCCAAGAGGCTGTCCACTCAAAGTTTGGTTTATTTATTTATTTATTTTATTTATTTATTTTTTGAGACGGAGTTTCACTCTTGTTACCCAGGCTGGGGTGCAATGGCGTGATCTCGGCTCACTGCAACCTCCGCCTCCCAGGTTCAAGCAGTTCTCCTGCCTCAGCCTCCCAAGTAGCTGGGATTATAGATATGTGCCACCACGGTCAGCCAATTCTGTAATTTTAGTAGAGACGGGGTTTCACCATGTTGGCCAGGCTGATCTCAAACTCTTGACCTCAAGTGATCTGCCTGCCTTGGCCTTCCAAAGTGCTGGGATTACAGGTGTGAGCCACCGTGCCATGCTTCAAAGTTTAGTTTAAATGCTCAATGGGAAAATATAAAAATTATAGTACATTCATCCATGGACTACTTTAAATGAATCCTATGCATTCATTTAAAATTACAGAGAAAAACAATATGCAAACAATATATAACTTATACAGCATTGTCCCAATTGTGTGAAAATAGATACGCAGAGGGAAAAAAAGGATGACAAAAGTTAATCATGATTGTTTCTGGCCGATGGAACAGTAAATCACTTTTTTTTTTTTTTTTTTGGGGACGGGGTTTCCCTCGTTACCCAGGCTGGAGTGCAACGGCGCGATCTCGGCTCACCGCAACCTCCGCCTCCTGGGTTCAGGCAATTCTCCTGCCTCAGCCTCCTGAGTAGCTGGGATTACAAGTACGCGCCACCATGCCCAGCTAATTTTTTGTAGTTTTAATAGAGACGGGGTTTCACCATATTGACCAGGATGGTCTCGATCTCTTGACCTCGTGATCCACCCGCCTCGGCCTCCCAAAGTGCTGGGATTACAGGCTTGAGCCACGGCGCCCGGCCTAGTAAATCACTTTTATTTCCATTACGCTTTTCTTAATTTCCCGAAATATCCATACATTTTTATAATCAGAAAAAAAGGTTTTAAGCTCCAACGTGTCAGGCCACACCTGGAGCCGCCAATTTATCTCGTTGTTGGGATACAGAGATGAGTCATCTCAAAGGAGAGGGAGGGGCCAACAGGGCTTTGACGCGGGCTGGCTAGGAAGGGGAGGGACAAGCACTGGGTGGGATGGGATCTGATCAGCTCAGCAGGACTTTAACCCGGAAGCGCTGACGGTGGCACACCACCAGGCAAAATCCACCTCAAAAGCTGGGAATAACGTGGCAGCCGCGGCACAACAAAACACGCCGGTCCAAGTCAACCTCACAGTCCTCCGACAGATGACCCAGGCCAACCCCGCCCCTTGCCTCTCCCCATTGGTCCGCAGAAACTCGTTCGGTTTCCCAGGGCCCGCCCCTCTGGAGCTGCGGGAGGAGGCGCGCTCCGTCTCCGCTTAGACGCTGGCGGCCATAATAACTGTGGCATGTTAGGGGAGGGTGGGTCTATTCTGTATTTTTGCCACCGCGGACTCCATCCCACACACTCTGCAAGTGTTTCCCTTTAGTCGTGGGCTCTCGGGACCCGAAGTAAACAGGTGATTTACCACTGAAATGATTCTCACGTGGGAGCTGGGCGTTTGTGTGAAGTGCACACATCTTCCGCCCCGCCTCCATTTCCCTGGAGGCCAGTGGGTTCTGATTTTCTAGAGGTGATGTCATCGCAAAACCTTTCTAAGGTCCTAATGCCCGAGGTTAGGATTGCAGAACCGTTTACAATGAGAACTTAGAGACTGGGTGACTGTATAGTTTACTGTTCAAACTGGGACAGCTTTGCGAGTCTAGGGGGTGTACTATCAATAATTAATCCATACAACAGTAGTAAATGTGGACTGTTCTGGAGTTTATAGTCACTTTACTTAAAGTCACCCTACTTAGAGTCAGCTCTTTTTTTTTTTAATTGTTATCAAATATATATGAAAATTTCCATTTTAACAATATGTGTATAATTCAGGGGCATTAATTGCATCACAATGTCGTGCAATCATCGCCATTATCTATTTCCAAAATTTTTCATTGCCCCAAGCAGAACCTCTGTGTCCAGTAAGCAATAACTCTCCATTAACCTCTCCCACCAGCCTGTTAATCTCCAGTGCCCTTTCTGTCTCTGTGAATTTGCCTATTCTAGGTATTTAACATAAGTGGAATCATACAATAGCTGAGGTTTTCTGTCTGTCTCGTTTCACTTAGCATGTTTTCAAGGTTCATCTATGTTGTAGCATGTATTCATAATTTGTTTTGTTTTCTAGTTAAATAATATTCCCTTTTATAGACATACAACAATTTGTTTATCCATTCATCTGTTTACGAACACTTGGGTTGTTTCTACCTGTTGGCTATTGTGAACAAAGCTGCTGCAAACATTTGTACAAGTATTTGAAGGTCCCAACACTTTTCTTTTTAATTGCGTTTTAGGTTTTGGGGTACATGTGAAGAACATGCAAGATTGTTGCATAGGTACACACATGGCAGTGTGATTTGCTGCCTTCCTCCTCATCACCTACATCTGGCATTTCTACCCATGCTCTCTCTCCCCAACTCCCCACCACCCACTGTCCCTCCCCTGTTTCCTTCCAACAGACCCCAGTGTTTGACGCTCCCCTTCCTGTGTCCAACACTTTTTTTATAAGCCATCCTAGTAGTGTGAAATGATATCTTTGTGGTTTTGGTTTTCATTTCCTTAATGATTAAAAATGTTGAGGCCAGGCCGGGTGCGGTGGCTCAAGCCTGTAATCCCAGCACTGTGGGAGGCCGAGGCGGGTGGATCACGAGGTCAAGAGATCGAGACCATCCTGGTCAACATGGTGAAACCCCGTCTCTACTAAAAATACAAAAAATTAGCTGGGCCTGGTGGCGCGTGCCTGTAATCCCAGCAACTCAGGAGGCTGGGGCAGGAGAATTGCCTGAACCCGGGAGGCGGAGGTTGCGGTGAGCCGAGATCGTGCCATTGCACTCCAGCCTGGGTAACAAGAGCGAAACTCCGTCTCAAAAAAAAAAAAAAAAATGTTGAGGCCAGGCATGGTGGCTCATCTGTTTAATCCCAACACTTTGGGAGACCGAGGCCGGTGGATCACCTGAGGTTGGGAGTTCGAGACCAGCCTGACCAACATGGAGAAACCCCAAAAATACAAAATTAGCCAGTGTGGTGGCGCACGCCTGCAATCCCAGCTACTCAGGAAACTGAGGTGGGAGAATCGATTGAACCTGGGAGGCAGAGGTTGTGGTGAGCTGAGATTGTGCCATTGCACTCTAGCCTGGGCAATAAGAGCAAAACTCCATCTCAGAAAAAAAAAGATGAAAAGATGTTGAGCATTTTAAATTATTTATTTATGTATCGAGATGGAGTCTCGCTCTGTCGCCCAGGCTGGAGTGCAGTGAC